TCTCTGTCAGTTTTCTCACTCCATTTGGTGCTTGGCTGAGTTCTTTATCTCTTCATTTGATGTTTTAGGGTTTCAGGATTGTTGTTTTCTCTGTTCGGCGTAGTTATTCAGATCTTTGCTGTGGAGGGACAGCGTGGTGCTTCTGCCTAGAGCGCCATTTTGCCAGAAGTCCTCCATATATCTTCTTTTGAGAATTGTCTGTTCAAGTCATTGCCCATTTATTTATTGGGTTGTTTGCCTTTTGGTATTCATCTGCAGTTTTTTTTGTTTGTTTGTTTTTATGTTCTGGACACAAGTCTTTTGTCAAATATGTGTTACACGTTGGTGAAGGGTAAGACAGTACACAATACTGGGGAAGCCAGTACAACTTGTCCAAGGCAAGGTCATAGAAGCTCAATAGACACATCCAAACTCTCTGAGGGACTGTATTACTAGTCTAAGGGGGGGACCATGAACCTCAGGTTCAAAGGATGCGCTCTGTTCCTGGCATTGATTTCTTGGTGATATGAGGTCCCCAACTCTCTGCTTGCTTCCCTTTCCTTTTATCTCTTATAAGATAAAAGATTATGCAGGCCACACCCCAGGGAAACTCCCTTTACATTGGATCAGGGATGTGACCTGAGCAAAGGTGTTACATTCCACCCTAATCCTCCTTAACATAATCCAATCTTGCCTCATTAATCACAGTCAGAGATTAAGATTTATAACGTATAGGTAAATTACAATCACAAAATGGAGGACAACTACCCAATACCAGGAATCATGGCCTAACCAAGTTGACACATATTTTGGGGGGACACGATTCAATACATGACACATGCCTAGGTTAAACCTCACTCGATCATAATGTTTTATCCTTTTTATATATTTTTGTATATGATTTGCAAATACTTTTATATGAATTTTGGATCTATATTCGTAAAGAATACTGATCTGTAATTTTTTTCTTGCAATGTCTTAGTCAAGTTTTGATATCAAAGTTTTACTGGCTTCATAAAATTAGGTAGCAAGTGTCCACTTCCCCCTGTTTTCTGAAAAAGTTTACATAAGATTGGTACTATTTATTTCTTAAATATCTGGTAGAATTAACCAGTGAAATCATTGGGACTTATAATTTTCTTTGTGGGAATGTTTTTGGTGATGAACTCAATTACTTTAATAGATACAAAGCTATTCTTGTTTTCTAATTCTTCTTGTGTTAGTTTTGGCAAATATTACTTTTCATTGAATTTGTTCATTTTATCTAAGTTGTCAAATTTATTTACATACATATGTTCATAGTATTGCCTTATCCTTTTCATGTCTCTAGAATCTATAGTGATGTTCTGCTCATTCCTAATATTGGTTATTAGTTCTCTCGCTCTCCCACTCTTCCTTCCTCCTTTCATCCTTCCCTCTTCAGTTTTGCTAAGAGATTATCAATTTTATTAATTATTTCAAAGAATCAGCTCCTGGCTTTGTTAATTTTCACTATTGTTTGCCTGTTTTATATTCTATTGATTTCCTTTTTATTCTTATTATTTTTTTCCTTCTACTACTTTGAGTTTAATTTGCTTATATTTTCTAGCTTCTTAACATGAAAGCATAGATCATTGATTTATTTTTTCCAATATAATCATTCAAAATTATTTAAAACTATAAATTTCTCTCTAAGCACTGCTTTAGCTGCATCCAACAAATTTTGATGTGTTGTATTTTTATTAGAATTTATTTGGAACTATCTTCTACTTTCTCATGTGATTTATTCTCTGATCTATGGGTTATTTAAAATTGTGTTTTTAAATTTTCAAATATTTGGTATTTTCTAGATACCTTGTTTATTTCAAATTTTATTCCACTGTGGTCAAAGGAGATAGTCTATAAGATTTCAATCTTTCGAAATTTATTGAGACATTTTATGGGGCATCATTTGGTTAACTTAGTAGATGTCCAATGTGCAGCTGAGAAGAATACGTATTCTGCATTTGTTGGATATAATATTTTATAAATGGCGATTAATAAAGTTGATTAATAATTATTAAGTCTAGATCTTACTGATTTTAATTTAGTTGGTGTATCAATTATTGAGAGAATAGTGTTAAAATTTTTTACTGATTGTGGATTTGTCTGTTTCCCTTTAATCCTACCAATTTTTTTCTTTCTGAACTTTGAAACTCTATTATTAGATGCATAGACATTTAGGATTTTTTTGCTTTCTGGTGAATTGAGACTTTTATAATGAAATATTCCTCTTTATCTTTTTTAAGCTCTTTATCTTAAAACCAGCTTTCTGACATTAATATAGCAATACAGGTTTTTTTATGTTTACTTTTGCATGCTATATCTTTTTCCTATCCTTTTACTTTAACTTAGCATTGTCTTTATATTTAAAGTATATAATCTCGCAGGCAGCATATAGTTGGGTCCTGCTGCTTTATTCAGTCTGAAAATCTCTACCTTTTAAATAATGTGCTTTGTCCATTTACATTTAATGTAATTATTGATATGGTTGGATTTAGATCTACCTTGTAGATATCTGTTTCCTAGTTGTTCCATCTGCGCTTTTATCCTCCTATTCTTCATTTCCTCTCTTTATTTTGGTTAACTTTTGAACTATCTATGATACAAAGGTTTCTAAAGAACAATGGTAATAGCCTTAGTTCCTTTCTAGGAAAATGCAGGTTATATATAAATATTACAAATACAGGGAAGAACGTGATTAAATTACATGGTTAGATATGTTAGTGTCTGACGGGAACCTTCTGAACTCCTAATAAGTTTTTTTTTTCCTTTGCAGAGTTTTGTTTTGATGCTCCACCAAAAATCAGATATGCCACTTTCAAAGCCCACACGTACAAGAATGGCACCATACTAAACTGTGAATGCAAGCAAGGTTTTCGCAGAATAAGTAATGGATCACCCTATATGCTTTGTAAGGGAAACTCTAGCCACACTTCCTGGGAGAACAAATGTCAATGCATAAGTAACTGTAAGTGATTCCTTTTGTAACTACCAAGGGAAGGGGAACTGTAGCACACAGAGACACAGCTTCAGCTTTTGTTCACTCAGCCCTATAAACAAAAATTCACTGGTCCACTCTCCCTCAGAAAAGTTAACATTTTACTCTACACACAGATGATAACTAACTTTAGTAGTTCCTGGAATATTTATTTGTTAAACAAATATTTAATGTGCATCTATTAGTTCCTATGGCTCAGTTCTATACTCAGTCCTATAGAGTCTCTATGAATTGGAATCGACTCAACAGCAATGGGTTTTGATTATTAGTTCTCAAGGATTGTTCTAGGACCTGGAGATACAATAGACATAGGCCTCAAGAAGTTTACACTTCAAGGAACAGGGGGAAGACATTACACTAAAAATTACAGAACAATTTGAAAATAGTTCTAGTGAAAAATATTGACATATAAGGCTGAATTAACTTTATAAGTTCCGAATTGCTTTAGGGGAGCAAAGGAGCCAGTGGATCATTGAGCCAGACCACTCCTAATTGCTGTCAGCCACATATCCATGCACAATGTTGACAGAATTGGTTAAAAGAATGGAGTTCCTTTTGGGGACATACACACACCTCCACCAGAAAATCGTTCATTCTGTCTAAAACACAGTGTAGGTGTTGCAATTATGCACATGAATATCAAGAGGACAGCGCTGAGCTTGGGTGGAAGCAGGACCCACTGACAGCACCCCCAGGGCATGGCTCATCTTTGTAACCAGCACCCAGATGTTGTCTGGCACTTCCCAGATACTAAATAGACACTCTTTTTGAGTGCGTAAATGAATGAACAGTGTTTTATATTTTTTTTTTTTTTTTTTAGCATTTGTGAAGTTAATTGCTTCATTCCACACATATTCTCTAGCCCCTAGGAACACAGGAGAACCAGTTACACCTAAACCTGAAGAACAAGAGGAAAGAAAAACCACAGAAATGCGAAGTCAAATGCAGCCCCCGGACCAAGAAAACCTTCTAGGTAAGAGATGGATTTCAAACAACTGTCCTCTGCCTGACTCCCAAGAGCCGACCCTTCTTTTGTAGGTATATGAAATAGTGTTCCCCAAAGGAGGAAAGTCTGTCCCACTACCCGTGAGCACATCATTTCATTCCCATTTTCTAAGGTATTAGGTGGACAAGAGCTATTCAGTAGTGTTTGCAGGCTATTTTCTCAGCATCTCAAACCACTCTTATGGCAGCCAACCTGGTCTCAGGGCTTCTTTTCCCTGGACATAATGCATATTTCATAGGTTTGGGAGCTGGCCAAATAGAATTCAACTCAATTCAGTTCAAAAAGCTTGTGTTGGATCTAGCTCAATTGGCATAACACAGCTTATAAAGACAATGCTCTACATTCTACCTTGGTGAGTAGTGCCTGGGGTCTTAAAAGCCTGTGAGCGGCCATCTAAGATACTCCACTGGTCTCATCCCTTCGGGAGCAAGGGAGAATGAAGAGAACAGGATACAAGGAAAAGATTAGTCTGAAGGACTAATTGTCCACAGCTACCAAGGCCTCCACCGGACTGAGTCCAGTACAGCTAGATGGTGCCCAGCTACCACCACTGACTGCTCTGACCAGGATCACAACAGAGGGTTCTGGACAGAGCTGGAGAAGGATGTAGAGCATAATTCTAACTCACAAAAAAAAGACCAGATTTACTGGCCTAAAGAAGACTGGAGAAACCCCGAGAGTATGGCCCCCAGACACCCTTTTAGCTTAGTGGTGAAGTTACCTCCGAGGTTCACTGTTCAGCCTGGGAGTGGACAGCCCCGTAAAACCAAATGAGACTAACGAGGTACAGGAGTCCAGTGACAAGGGCCAGAAAGCAGAAGGGGACAAGGAAGCTGGTTGAGTAAGGATATTGTCGATATGTTGTGAGATTGTTAACCATTGTCATAGGGCAACATTTGTAGTAACTGTTAAATGAGAAACTATTTTGTTTTGTAAGCCTTCATCTTAAGTGAGAATAACAGCACAATTAGAAGAGCGTAGTCAATGCCACTGAACTGTGCATGTAGAAATTTTTGAAATGGTGTATCTTTGGCTATGTGTATTTTCACCAAAAAAAAGGTTGAGAAGTTGGAGGGTCGACGTGTTGTAGGGTTGTTAACCAATGTCATAAAACAATATGTGTACTAGTGTTTCATGAGAAACTATTTGTTCTGTAAGCCTTCACCTGAAGTACAATAAAAAAAAGCGTCTTAAAAAAAAAAAAAAGCTTGTGTTGGGACTAACTGCATGTCAGGTACTGCAGACAGAAGATATAAATAGGAATAGAACAACAGTCCTTTCCCTCGAGGAAATGCTCTGTATTTTTCCCTTAAGTACAAGACAATGAACTGCAAGCAAAACAATTTCCTTCAGGTGTTTCTTACAGGTTCTGATTGTAAAATGTGCTGTGCTGGGGATTCTGAAAAGCTGTAGACAAACAGCTCCCAGCTAATGCACTGCACAAGAGTGAGCACTGCGACTATCACCTCGCCTGCCTGCTCCTCTTCAAAATGACTAATGTTTAATTCCTAATGTCAGGGAGTGACAGAGCCTGTTAGGAAAACCTGAGCTTTTTGCAGACCAGCAACCCTTATGAGACCCTATAGCCAAAACAAGCAAACAAACGAACAAACAAACAAAAAAACAAAAAAAAACCCAAACTCATTGCCATCGATTCCGACTCATAGCAACCCTATAGAATAGAGTAGAACTGCCCCATAGGGTTTCCAAGGAGCGGCTGGTGGATTTGATCTGCCGACCTTTTTGTTAACAGCCAAATCCATTAACCACTGTGCCACCAGGGCTCCTGAGACCCTATGGCTCTATGCTAATTTTGTGACCTTACAAAGAGCTTTATCATATATACATATCCTCATGTAAGCCTCACAACCCAATGAGTCAAGGAGCAGAAGTACTACTCCCATTTACTGCTGAAGAAACTGTGACACAAAGAAGTTATAAGACTTGGCTAAGCTCACGTAATAGAACTGGAGTAAGACCTCCAAAAAACAAACAAACAAATAAAAAACTGTTGCCTTCGAGTCACATGACCCTATGTGAATCATAGTAGAACTGTGCTCCATAGCATTTTTTTTTTTTTTTTTAATTAACTAAGGTCCATACTTTGAATATTCTCGGCATTTCCTTATTGTCCTTTTTTGTTCCAGGATCTCATCCAAAATACTCCATTACATTTAGTTTTCACATCTCCTTAGGCTCCTCTTGGTTGTGACAGTTTCTCAGATGTTCCTTGTTTTTGTTCACTCTGACAGTTTTGAGGAGTATTAGTCAGGTGTTTCATAGGCTGTGCTTCAGTGGGATTTGCCTGATGTTTTTCTCATGATTAGAATGGGGTAATGTTTTATTTTGTTTTTTCCAGAGAAAGACTACAGAGGTAAAATGCAATTCTCATCACATCACTTCAAAAATGTTGTTGTTATTAGTTGCCATTGCATCAGCTCTGGCTCATGGTGACCCCATACATAACAGAATGAAACTTTTCTTGTCTTGCGCCATCTTCATGACCATTGGTATGTTTGAGCCCACTGTTGCAGCCATTGTGTCAATCCATCTCATCGAGGGTTTCTCTCAACTTCGCTGGCCCTCCATTTTACCAAACATGATGCCCTTCTCCAGCAATTGGTCCCTCCTAACGACGCGTCCAAAGTAAGCAAGTTGAAGTCTCAGACAATATTCTGTGACTCATAGTGTTTTCATTGGTTAATTTTCAGAAGTAGATTGCCAGGCCGTTCTTCCTAGTTAGTCTGGAAGCTCCACTGAAAACCAATCCATCATCGTGGGTGACCCTGCTGGTATTTGAAATACTGGTGGCATAGCTTTCAGCATCACAGCAACACTCAAGCCACCACAGTACAACAAACTTACAGACAGGCAGGCGGTGAATATCAAGGGTACATACTGTCAATATGGTTTATCACTGTTGATGTTAACCTTGATTACCTGGTTGGAGGTAGTATTTATCAGATTTCTCCACTGTAAAGTTATCTTTCCCCCTCCCTCCCTTTCCATACTGTGCTCTTGGGAAGAAAGTCCTTATGTGGATCCCACACTTAAGAAGTGGGGAGTTATGCTCCATGTCATTGAGGGTAAAGTAGCTACATAAATTATTTGGATTCTTCTGCATGAATTCTTCATGTCTATTGCCTTTATTTATTTATTCAATCATTTTTATCAGTATGGACATATGGGTATGTATTTTATACTTTGAGTTATAATCCAGTATTTTTTTATATATTTTATTGTGCTTTAGGTGAAAGTTTACAGTGAAAACTAGTTTCTTATTGAAAATTTATACACAAATTGATTTGTGACGTTGGTTGCAATCTTCGCATTGTGTCAGCACTCTCCCTCTTTCCCTTTCCACCCTGGGTTCCCTGTGTCCATTCATCCAGTTTTCCTGTCCCTTCCTGCCCTCTCGTCTTTGCTTTTGGGCAGATGTTGCCCATTTGGTCTCATATACTTGATTGAACTAAGAAGCACGTTCCTCGTGTATGTAATTGTTTGTTTTATAGGCCTGTCTAATCTTTGGCTGAAAGATGGATCTCAGGAGTGGCTTCAGTTTTGAGTTAGCAGAGTGTCAGGGGGCCATAGTCTCAGGGGTTCCTCCAGTCTCTGTCAGACCAGTAAGTCTGGTCTTTTTTTGTGTGTGTGTGTGAATTTGAATTTTGTTCTATATTTTTCTCCCGTTCTGTCTGGGACCGTCTATTATGATCCCTGTCAGAGCCATTGGTGATGGTAGCTGGGCACCATCTGGGGGCTCAGGCTGGTGGAGGCTGTGGTTCATGTGGTCTATTTGTTCTTTAGACTAATATTTTCCTTATGTCTTTGGTTTTCTTCATTATTCTTTTCTCCAGATGGGATGGGACCAATAGATGTATCTTAGATGGCTGCTTGCAAGCTTTTAAGATCCGAGATATTACTCACCAAGGAAGGATGTAGAACACTTTCTTTATGAACTATGTTATGCCAATTGACCTAGATGTCCCCTGAGACCATGATCCCCAGACTTTGGACCCAGTAACTCGGTCCCTCACAGTGTTTGGATGTGTCTAGGAAGCTTCTGGAGCCCTGGTGGCATAGTGGTTAACAGTTCAGCTGCTAACCAAAAGGTCAGCAGTTCAAATCCACCAGCAGTTCCTTGGAAACACTATGGGGCGGTTCTACTCTGTCCCATAGAGTCGCTGTGAGTTGGAATTGACTTGATGGCAATGGGTTTGGTTTTTTTGTTTGTTTTGGAGGAAGTTTCTATAACTTTGCCTTGGCCAGGTTGTGCTGACTTCCCCTATATTGTGTGTTGTCTTTCCCCTCACCAAAGTTAACACTTGTGTACTGTCTAGTAGTAATTTCCCCTCTCCATCCTTCCCCTCCCTCGTAACCATCAAAGATTGTTTTTTTCTGTTGGTAAAACTTTCTTGGATTTTTATAATAGTGGTCTCTCCATAGGATTTTTTTTTTCTTTTTTTTATTGTACTTCAGGTGAAGGCTTACAGAACAAATAGTTTCTCATGAAACAGTAGTACACATATTGTTTTATGACTTTGGTTAACAACCCCACGACATGTCAACCCTCTCCCTTCTCGACCTTTTTTTTTTTGTGAAAATATACATAGCCAGAGATACACATTTCAAAAATTTCTACATCACAGCTCAGTGACTTTGACTACGCTCTTCTGATTGTGCTGCTATTCTCACATGTTGCCCTATGACAATGGTTAACAACATCACAACACATCAACACTGTCCTTACTCAAACTTGGGTTCCCTATCACCAGCTTTCCTGGCCCCTTCTGCCTTCCAGCACTTGTCCCTGGACTGCTGTGCCTCATTAGTCCCATTTGGTTTTATGGGGCTGTCCACTGCCCGGCTGAACAGTGAATCTCGGAAATGACTTCACCACTGAGCTTAAAGGGTTTCTGGGGGCCATACTCTCAGGGTTTCTCCAGTCTCCTTTACGCCAGTAATCTGGTCTTATTTGCATGTGTTAGAATTTTGTTTTACATCCTTCTCCATTGTTGCAAGCTGATGTTTTTATGCCTTTACCCCTCCAACTTTGTATCAACTTAGCTCATATTAACCTTCCACAATTATTGAAAGGTTTCTCAAGAGGTAAACGTTTGTTGTCTTTACTCAGCAAGTTCTGGCTAAGGGATGTTTCACCAATGGTCTTAGTTTGGATGTTTTCATTCGAAAGAAACAAACTCAATTCAAACAGGCTCAGACAGTTCTGAATTTTATTGACGGTAAAAGAAAATGTTTTTCTGAGACAAAAACAAAAGCTCAGTCATTATTTGCAAGGTGCTGCACTACAGGAGAAGCCCTGGCGGCACAGTGGTTAAGAGATTGTCTGCTAACCTAAAGATTGGCAGGCAGTTCAAATCCACCAGCCACTCCTTGGAAACCCTATGGGGCAGTTCTACTCTGTCCTGAGACAGGGTATGAGTTGGAATCGACTTAACAGCAACTGGCTTGGCTTGGCACTACAGGAGACAGTCAGGTCAGGACTGCTCAGCCCCCTGCTGCGGAAGGGGGATTACATAGGGTCTTTAGGTACCAGGGTTGTGGAAAGTCAGGGCGCACATGCAGTTCCACATGTCTGGGGTGAGAGGGTGCTGCAGTTTCATGAGTACAGTTGTGGGGAATGCAAGGACAGAGCAAATTCTGAGATTAAATCAGAGCAGGATATGGTCTCTGGGGTTTTAGTTGGGTAGATGGAAAGTTATCGGGCATGGAAAATTTTCAGAGGCTTTGATACGGCTCACATGGGTCCAACTTCAGGCATGGCTTGATCAGAGATCAGCCTCCGTTTCTTTGAGATTCTCTCAGCTCTTTCCTTTTCAGGGCTGTGGCGTTGTCCCCAGTCCTTCTCCCTTGATCCCAAGATGGCCACCGGCCACAGTGAGAGAATGCTTTCTCATTTATCCAGTGGAAACCCCAGGTGCTCTTCACATATCATTGGCCCAAACAGACTTGAGCCCCCCCTTCTCCCTGAGCTTAGACCACACTTCCCACTCCTGTCCACCCATCAAGTCCCTCGTCATCTTTCAAGGGCCAGCTCCAGTGCTTTCTCTTCTAGGGTAGCACCAATCAGAATTAATCAGTCATTCCTCTGTGTTCCCATAACAAGAATCTGCTCCTCAGTGATCACGCTCGCCACTTTCTGCCTCCATATGTCTTTCTTACCCAACTGAATGTCGGCTCCTTATGGGACTGACTGGGTCTTTGGTCTTTGTGCCTTCCCATAGTGCCTAGCAAAGTTCTCAATACATATTTGCTGAATGAAGAAAATGAATGAATGAACAAACAAAGGAATAAGAACCAATGTTCAGTCTCTGGAAAGAGGCGACTTGGATTGACTCACAGTGCGTTTCCCAACTTACTTTCAGAATTTCCTTTCCCTCTTCCAGGTCACTGCAGGGAGCCTCCACCATGGAAACACGAAGCTATGGGGAGAAAGTATCATTTTGTGGTGGGGCAGACAGTTCAATACCAGTGCACCAACGGATACTGGGCTCAACGGAGAGGCCCTGCCGAAAGCACCTGCAGAGTGATCTGTGGGAAAACAAGATGGACACAGCCCCGGCTCACGTGCACAAATGAAGTTATTACAGGTATTGTTTCCAGGTATTGTGGCGCCCTTCTTGGGTCCACTACATTGTTTTTCTCCATCAGGCTGAGCAGGGTGAAATTCCTAACTTCATCAGCTATGTGACCTTGGGCAGCCATTTAATCTCCCTGGGCCTCAGTTTTTTCACATTCTAAAAAATAGACTGTGTGAACTAGAAGGTCTCCTCCCCCAAAGGTCCCTCTATACCCTGGCAGAGGATAAAGAGTAAGAGACCAAAGAGGAGCAAAGTTCTTTCAAGGGTTGCCTCACTGGGGATAATGCTTTTCTAGCAGACCCTGAAATTCCACTTCTTTCTCTAAGCTACCAAGACTTCTTGCAGTTCAAAAGGGAAAGTCCAATCTCTCCACACACAGTTTCTACCTTTGACTCACACATAATATAAATACATTATTTGTATAGTGCTCCATTGTTAGCATGCTCCTTACCTTGTGTAATTTCCCTACCTGATCTCTGATTTAAACAAAAAAAAAGTCCCTGGGTAGCACAAACAGTTTGTACTTGACTACTAACATGAAGATTGGCTGTTCGAATTCATCTAGCAGCACTGTGGAAAAAAGGCCTGTCGAACTGCTTCCATAAAGATTACAGCCAAGAAAACTCTATGGGGCAGTTCAGCTCTGTGATACATTGGGTCACCATGAGTCAGAATCAACTCAATGACAACGGGTTTGGTTTTGGGTTTTGGACCCCTGATAAAAATGCAAATGTGCAGGGAAAGGACTGAAAGGTAGGCTTTAGAAGGAAGGTAGGCAGAGGCAAGGTCTGGTTACAGCCATGGAATAGATAAATAAGAGGAAACCAGGGCCTACTCCTGACCACCCAGCATCCTTTCTGAAGGACAATGTTCTTTTATCCAACCATTCATTCGTGAATATTACAAAAAATCTGTGACTATCTAGTATACACTAGTAAATGTTCTAGGTGAAGGGAACATGGTGGTGATACCTCTTTCTCTTTCCCTTTCTCTCTCTCATTCTCTCTCATGTATATATTGTAAGTATAATATATATATGTAGGAATAGATAGAGATCTCATTTTGGTTTATCAATATCTAAAAGAGTCTAAAATGTCCCACAAGGATTGAATGTTTGTCAATTTGTCCTTGAAATGCTAAGCAGTATTTTGCTTTATGTAGTTCAAATCTACATTGTTAAGTACCTAGAGGTCCGTGTTTTTTTTTTTTAATTTTCTTTGTGAATTGTAACTTTTATCTTTATAAAATATCTCATTCTATATTTTTTAATGCTGCTACCTTGATTTCTGTTTTGTCTGATTTTAACATGGCTCCGTTTCTGTCTTTTTGTTTGTATTTTCCCGGTATTTTTTTTAATCCCCTTATTCTCAAACTTTAATGTCATATGGGGTTGCCATGTGTCAGAATCAACTTGACTACAACTAACAACAAAAATGTCATTTTTAGATGTGTCTCATAAATAGTGTATAGCTGGAATTTTTGTTGTTGTTGTTAATCCAATCTGTCTTTTAATAGTAGAATTTAAATTTCTGTCTTTTAATAATAGAATTTAAATTATTCATATTTATTGTAATAACCAAAATGATTAGACTTATTTTGGTCACCTTATAATATGTGTTCTATTTATCATTCTTTTTATACTTTTTACTTTTTTTCTGCCTTTTATTGGATTGAGTTTTCTTTGTTTTAGTTTTTTCCTCTAACGGCTTGAAAATTAATAATCCTATTTTTATTCTTCTAGTGATTCCCCTTATATTTTAAAAACACACATTTAAATATGTATTTCGTATCAGCATGGAGTTAATCACAATAATCCCTCACTTAACAGGACAAAAACTTCAGCATACAATTACTTTCTTTCTCTGATGCAAACACACACACAGACACACACACTCACTCACTCACTCACTCACTCATGCATACATACAACCTACTCACGTTGAGATATTCTGGCATTTTCATTCTAAGAACCTGATGGATATTTCTACAATCAAAAGTTACTTACATTTAACAGTAAGATTTATTGGTTTGATCACCACCATTTCTCATATCCCCTATCTTCCTCTTTGGGAATACTGTGTATCTTTCCCAAAGCCTGCCTTCAGTGAGTGTGGGGAAGAAACAAGACACGCTGATTGCCAGGGTGTGTCAGTAGATTTTCTTCTGTGATAGGTTCCCCATTCCTCCTAGGTGTTGCCGGTCACCCAGGGCACTGCCCTTCCTTTTCAGCTCAAGTGGCCACACTTACTGCTTTAGACTTGAGGCAAATGCCCCTGCTGCTCGGCCCAAAGCACGGAAAACCACAAGGCCCCTCTCAATATCATCCCCCAGGAATTTTCCTACATCTTTACGAGTTGTCTTTGAATTGACCTTGACTCACAGCAACCGCATGCACATCAGAGTAGAACTGTGCCCCATAGGGTTTTCAGTGACTGATTTTTCAGAAACAGATCATCAGGCCTTTCTTCAGAGGTGCCTCTGGGTGAACTTGAACTGACAACCTTTCAGTTAGCAGCCAAACACGTTAATCATTTGCACCAGGGACTCCCTAAGGTCTTTACTGTTTCTTGAATCTATTTCCTCTGAGCTTGGCATACCCCTAAAGTAATTGCCACTTTTTACTGCATTCTTCTTCAGCATGTATTTTGGTCTTTGGTTTTCCTCCTCAATCTGGTTATATCTTTTTTCAAGGAGTCCTCAAAATTTTTGATCTACTGATAGCATAGTTTCTTGCTTTTGGGTGCTCTTATGGATTTATTCTCTTATTAATACATTTTTCTCCTGTTATTGCTAGGGTTTTGATGGGGGAGGGAGAACCAGATGCATGTTCAGTGCTCAAATTTTAGCCAATTCCTAGACTTCCTTTTTATTTATTTATTTTTATGTTTTCTTTTTTTTTTTTTAATTGTACTTTAGATGAAAGTTTACAGAACAAACTAGCTTCTCATTAAACAATTAATACACATATTGTTTTGTAACATTGGTTGCCAACCCCACAACATGTCAACATGCTCCCCTTCTCAACCTTAGGTTCCCTATTACCAGCTTTCCTGTCCCCTCCTGCTTTCTCATTCTTGCCCCTGGGCTGGTGTGCCCATTTAGTCTTGTTTTGTTTTACAGGCCTGTCTAATCTTTGGCAGAAGGGTGAACCTCAGGAGTGACTTCATTACTGAGCTAAAAGGGTATCTGGGGGCCATACTTGGGGTTTCTCTGGTCTGTGTCAGACCAGTAAGTCTGGTCTTTTTTGTGTGTGTGTGAATTAAAATTTTGTTCTACATTTTTCTCCAGCTCTGTCTGGGACCGTCTATTGTGATCCCTGTCAGAGCAGTTGGTGGTGGTAGCTGGGCACCATCTAGTTGTGCTGGACTCAGTCTGGTGGAGGCTGTGGTAGTTGTGGTCCATTAGCCATTTGGACTAATCTCTCCTTTGTGTCTTTGGTTTTCTTCATTCTACCCTGCTCTAGATGGGGTGAGACCGGTAGAGTATCTTAGATGGCCACTCACAAGCTTTTAAGACCCCAGACGCTACTCACCAAAGTAGAATGTAGAAAATTTTCTTTATAAATTTTGTTATGCCAATTGAGCTAGATGTTCCCCGAGACCATGGTCCCCAAAGCCCTCAGCCCAGTAATTTTGTCCCTCAGGGAGTCTGGATATCCTAGACTTCCTTTTTAAAGGGGATAGGATGTATAAAATTTTTTTAATATTGATTCTTCCTGTTCAAATCATAAAATGCTCCAATCAAAACAAAATACTAATACAGTTTTGAGTGGACTTTTTGCACAAAAGTGAAAAACAGAACATTGATGACATCCTAAATCTACAGCTTCCTGTGAAACATCTAACTAGATTAGGTGCCATCCTATCACCATTCCTACCACTAACTAGCCAACTAGTAGGATCCCCAAGGCAGGCCAGCTAAAAGGATCCTGGAGGTGTTAACACACAGACATAATAAGACTGGGCTATCATTTTGTGCATTTCCACATCTTTTCTTATGATTTTTTAAAATTTTATTTATGTTGTTGTTGAGAATATACATAGCAAAACATGCACCAATTTAACAGTTTCTACATGTACCATTTAGTGACATTGATTACATTCTTCGAGTCACACAATCATTCTCATCCTTCTGAGTTGTTCCTCACCAATTAACATAAATTCACTGCCCCTTAAGGTTCCTACCTAATTTTTCAAGATGCTGTTGTCAATTTGGTGCCATATAGATAGTTCTTAAAATAGCATAATGCTCAAGGCAGACTTTTTTACTAGTAAAGCTAAACTACTGTTTGGTTTTAAGAAGACTTCAGGGGATATTTTTGGTTTAAGGTTTAAAGATTATCTCAGGGCAATAGTTTCAGGGGTTCATTTAACCTTCATGGCTCCAGGAAGTCTGAAGTCCATGAGAATTTGAAATTCTGTTCTGCATTTTCCCCCTTTAGATCAGGATTCTTTTATGGATCTTTGATCAAAATGTTCAGTAATGGTAGCTGGGATCATCCAGTTCTTCTGGTCCCATGGCAAAGGAGTCAGTTGTTCATGGAAATAATTAGCCACATATTCCAAATCCTCCTCTTATTCCTGACTCTCCTTCTTCCTCTGTTGCTCCAGGCAAATAGAGACCAATTGTTTTGCCTTGGATGGTTGCTTGCAAGCTTTTAAGATCCCAGGCACTACTCAGTGAACTAGGAGGTAGAACAGAAGCACTAAACCTGTTATTAAGCCACTTAACTGGGATGTCCCATGAAACCATGACCCTAAACATCCAAACTAAGGAACCAAATCCCAGGAAGTTTTTGGCTGTACATAAGCAGGCTCAGCAGTTACTCTTTTTTTCTTTTCTCTTGTCATTGCTGTACATGTACATTTTTACTTCATTTGATAGTTCAATCATATTTCTATCATTATGATCCATTTTCTCCAACTTTTTGGTTTCAGAAGATGCTACGCATTTCACAGGCAGAAATTAGGACTACGTAGCAAGCATGGGGAGAAATAGTTGCTAGGAGTTTCACGGAAAGTCAAGGTCAGGGTAGAATTCCCTCTCACTCTGCTTTGCTGAGGCCACATAAACACTTCCCTGTGACCCTGCTGTAGAATCATGTGATGTGGCATCCCCAGAGATGTGCCCAGAACAAAGACGCATACCTCATATAGTGTTTCTGCAGCCAGCTGATGAGGGAGAGGGGAAAGATTTGAGCACTCCATCTTTAAGTTTCACAAGCATTGCTTACTCTGTCCTCCAGGTAAAGAAGAGGCTGAATCAAGCACTGACACTCTTCCTGAGAGTGAAACTTCCTGTCCCTCAATAACAACAGGTATGGCTAGAATTTCTCTGAAAAAAAAGCTTGGTCATTAAATCACAATGCAAGAAAGGGAAGACAATCATCTGAAGCAAGCCTCTCTAGCAGATGGGTCAGAATTGATCTGTAGTGTTAAAAATGATCGTTCATTGGGCCACCACTCCTACACATCAAGAAGTAGTAAGGGGGAGGAAACACCAATCACCACAGCCTCCCATCTCCTCCAAAACAGGGGCCTCACTCTTAGAAACCTGCATGCCCCAAGGCAAGTTTTAGAGAGAAGAGAAACAAGATGACTAGACTGAGGATGGAAATCTCAAGACAGAGAACATAATGTTTGCTACTTGCCTCTGCTTGTCTTTCACACCCCTTCTTTCAGTCTCCTGAGTTTCTAATTCATTGACATGCCCTAACTCTCTCCAGCCTTGTGCTGTCCTGTAATTAACATAAAATGAGCTTCTTCCCCTCTCTCTTTTTCACAGTTTCTCAAAAATATACAGAAGTGGTTGCAACCATGGAGACGTTCGTATTTACTACAGAGTATCAAGTTGCAGGTGGGTCAGATCAATTTCTTTGTTGACAAAATGTACACCAACAGAGACTGTGGAACATGTTGGTTGTTTGGTTGATCAGTTGATTGGCTGATTGGCTTAAAATGGTCCCCTCCTTATGCTACATAATGTTTATAATAATAAAGAATGGATCCAGATATTAATATAACTCCAAATTATAATCAGTTATAGTAAGTTGTGAGTCAAATTTCAAACCAGCCCCAACCAGTTTCTCCTGATCTTAAAGGACAATACCTCCATGTCTGTGTGTTGTGAGGGGTGAGGCAAGGGAGGGAGGGATACAGTGTAACCTGGGAAAGAGAGAAACAACATTCCATAAGCACTGCAATTGTTTTCCTGGTAGGAGGAGAGACCAGGTTTTCAGGTAACATCTGCCAAAAAGTTAATATCTGACTCTAGTACCACAGGAAAGCAGAATTTGGGAAATATGAACACTTTCAAGAAATGTTAATATATTTATCATTTATTTTTACATTTCAATGTTTCTTTTACTGGATCCAGGCCTTACACACTGCCTCCTTAAATGAGGCCTGGCCTCTGAACCTTTCTGAAGAGTTCCTATCAGTCTGCTCCCTCAGAAAGAATGGTGACTCTTGAGGAAAGGCGTCATCCCCTCTTTCTTACTCAAAGGCTCTCTCTCCACACCCCACCTCATGCTACCTCTAGTTATTTCTGGACAGAGTAAGCCTCCTAAGAAGTGCTGTGGGGTGACCTGTACTCTAAGAAAGGAAAGCAGAAACTGTAGAGTCCCACCCCTTCAGGAAATCCTTGCCCATCTGGGGGATTTTCTCAGCCTGCTTTGGGGACCTAACTTTCTGCTACCCCCAACACCAAGGCTAGGGCCCTCCTTTGCTGAGTTAATCTCTCTTTTGACAGTGGCTGGCTGTGTTTTCCTGCTGATCAGTATCCTGCTTCTCAGTGGGTTTACCTGGCGGCGAAAATGGTGAGTCCAATGCTACATCAAGGAAGCACTTGACCAATCTAGCGGGTGTAGCACTTCATCAAAGAACAAGTAGGAAAATCACCTGCAAGAACTAGGTCTTCCTTTTCCCCAGTCCATCCCCTTCTCTTACTAACCACTAGCTGTTTGGGGATTAGTAGAGAAGGAATCAGCCATCAGTGCATTATCAGGGTTGCTCAAAGAGAATTAAAACAGCAGGGAAATGGAAAGCAAAGGAAACTAATATTTGTTGACTGTCTACTATATGCCAAGCTTGATGCTTATCTTATGTACATTATTGCAACTTACCTTCCCAATAACCTTTGGAATAGCTATAGCTTTGAGAGATTAAGCACCTTGACCAAGATTGTATAGCCGAGGCTGAAACGAGTCGGACTCTAGAGCCCGAGTTCTTTCTGCCCTCCCCCTTGCTGGAAGGAAACCGAAAGCAGCATCTCCACTGAGCTTTTCCTATCCTGTGCTCCCCATTCCACCTCTGCAGATAACTCACATCAAAATCCCCTTGACCAGGAACATAACCCATGTGTGGCCTTATTGGCATTGACTAGGGTTCTCAATCCTGGCTGCATATTAGACTAACCAGGAGAGATTTTTTAAGGTGTCAATGCTTGGATGCCAATCAGAATCTCTAGGGAATGGAGCCCAAACATCATTACTTTTTAAAAATCCCTCAGAGGTGTCTAATATGTAGCTAGGTTTGACAACTCTGCATTAGGCCAGGTACTTAAACTTGAGTGTACATCGGAATCACCAGGAAGGCTTATTAAAGCACTGATAAAGCAGGTCTTGAGTGGGGCCCAATAATTTGCATGCCCAACAAATTCCCAAGTGATATTGATGCAGCTATTCCAGGGACTAAACTTTGAGCACCACTGCACTAGACTAATAGAATTAGCAAGAAAGAGAGTGAAAACATCTCACAAAACCATGGTTTATTAAGAAAAATTGGAATTTCTCCCTCCCTGTACACAGTAGACTACAGAGATCTACCATGTCACTGCCTTGACTATACAGGGTGTCTCCACCTCTGCCAGAGTGTGCTCTGGTCAACCCTGGTGTAAACCCTCCAGTTAGACTCTGAGAAGACATAGATCCACACCCATCAAAAACAAAGTGGTACCCGCACACCACTGCTTGGGGCCATGCCCTGTGTGAGCTCTGAGCAAGGCAGGAAGTAACCAGATTTTCCTGTGCACTAAGTGAGGGCAGGAAAAGTCTAGGACTGCACTGTCCAACAGGATTGCAACTAGCCCCGTGTGGTTATAGTTAGGCTAGGCAGAGAGAAGAAAGAAAAAAAAACATCTTTCATTCTTATATTTATCATTTAGGAATACAACATACTCCTAATTTTCCTCATGTGCATTAAGTACAAATTATCGCAATACAAATGATAAGTGCTTCAAGGTTATTGTATTAGAAATTATTCACATACCTGGCAGTCTTCCAATTTCTCTAAGGTGTTAGCTGATTCCTAAGGTGTTATTTTAGGGCTACATGAGATTAAGTATGTAAATGCCTGATATTGTAGGTGCTCAATACTTGTTAGATCCTCTCCATCCTTAGTTGGCAAGGCTTAATACCACCAAGGATCCTTTGATTTGGTAGCTTGAAGACCAAAGGACTTCAGACACAAGGGGATGGACTAAGCTATTCGAGAGTGGTAATGGTTTGAAAAGGAGCCCTGGTGGCGCAGTGGTCAAGCACTAGGCTGCTAACCGAAAGGTAGGCGGTTCGAACCTACCAGCTGTTCCACGGGAGAAGGATGTGGCAGTCCGCTTCTGTAAAGATTTACAGCGTTGGAAACCCTATAGGGCAGGTCTACTCTGTCCTATAGGGTCGCTATGCATCTGAATCAATTCGACGGCAATGGGTTTGGTTTTTTTGTTTTTTGTTTTTAAATGGTTTGGGGTTTATGTTGTGAAACAAAGAACTGCCTGAAACTATAGGAGCTCCCACAAGGACTCCCAGAGCTACAATCTTCGCAAGACTCAAACATAAATCTCAAAATGAGCCCTCTGGTCAAAGAGTTTGTCCAAAATTCTCTCTAGAATATAATTTCATCAGATGGTGCCCTCTTGTGGCCAAACAGAAATCCTGCATTTGAATTACTGAATGATCACCATAGCCTAGCCAAAGATTTTTCCGAGCAATTATTAAGAGCCAGTGATGTGCCAGAACTGGTTCACACTGGCTCATGAGAATCAAGTGTTAAATTTTCAGGAATTCTGTGAACTGATTGTTAAGCACAGCCATTATTAAAAATTAAGTTATATATACTTAACAACTAAATAATACTAAAAACAAATGTAATACTCAAAACTAATCCCTTCCTAATTATTTTACCACATTTGCTATTATCTTTGTTCTCAGTGTTATTTACATCTGTTGTGTCTGTACAATGGCTTAGTCTACAATGGTGCATTACTGCACATCTCTTCCAAACTCTGCATTCAGTGATTGTTAGCTTGAAAACAGCCATGGTGGGAATACTTACGCCATGGAAATAGGCAAACTTTTTCAGAGAGGTGGTTGTTAAACATTTGCCAACACACTACAGCTTGGAGCCCTACACTATGTGACCTCTGAACAAGGTAGGAAGTAACCAGATGATCCTGTGCTCTAAATAAGAGCTGAGAAAAGTCAAGGGCTGTGCTGCTCAATACGGTAGCAGCTGGCCACACGTGGCTATCTAAATTTAAACCTAAATAAACACTATTAAAAATTCAGTTACTTGATTGCATCAGCTGCATTTTAAGTGTTCAGTAGCCACATGTGGGAGTGGCTACCTTATTGGACAACACAGATAAAAAAAGTTCCCATCATTGCAGAGAGTTCTATAGGATAGCACTGCTAGGTACTTTCCTAGTTCATGAAAAACATTTAGCACAGTTAGTTACTATTACAATTCTTGTTCTGTAGCTAGTGTCCTCCATATAGATCAAAACACATTTCTAGAACATCTCTTATGTGGCAGGCACTGAGCTAATGGCCCAAAGATGAATACAACATAGCCCCTGCTCTCAGGAGCTTACAGACTAGTAGGGCAGAAAGACAAAAAATAGCGACTGTAAATATAATTTGTTAAGAATTAAGATCGAAGTGTTATAGGAGAACAGAGAAAGGACACTTAACCCTACTTGGGACCTAACGAAGTCTTTTAGAGGAGATAGTGCCTGAAATGCCTGCGGCCAAATAAAGAAAGGGCAGGAAATGTCTTCCAGGCAGAGGGAAAAGCGTGAGGACAGGTAAGGAGTCATGAGCCAGCGTGATGATATACTGGGGAGAAGTCAAGCAGTTCTAAACAACTAGGGTGTGAAGGGCATGGAGGCAGTGGTGACAATGATGCTCCAGGGGTGGACGGTGGCCAAGTCATGGAGGATCAGCCTGGCTGAGGAGCTTGGACTTTATCCTGAGGGCAGCAGAGATGCACAACTCTCATGAGGCAAATGGTGACATTGGCTATTTGGATGGTCTGGCTACAGTACAGAGGCTGGGTTTAAGGTGAGTAATACTGGTAGCTCCCTGGATGGTGCAAACGTTTTGTACTCGACTACTAACCTAAGGTTGGTGGTTTGAACCCATCCAGCAGCACTGGGGAAGAAAGGCCTGGCAAACTACTTCTCTAAAGATTAAACCAAAAAAAACAAACCCATTGCCACTGAGTCAATTCTGACCCATAGCAACCTTATAGGACAGAGTAGAACTGCCCCATAGGGTTTCCAAGGAGCGCCTGGCGGATTCAAACTGCCGAGCTTTTGGTTAGCAGCCATAGCTCTTAACCACTAAACCACCAGGGTTTCCTTCATAAAGATTACAGCCAAGGAAACCCAATGGAGTAGTTCTACTCTGTCACACAGTCAGAATCAACTGGATGGCAGTGGGTTTGGTTTTTAATAGTGGTGGCAGCTCAATTACATCACAATGGAATAAATTCACACATGAGACTGCGAAAGCCTAAACTAAGTCAGTGGACAGAAGTTAGAAAGGAGGAAAGAAATAGAGAAATACAGAGAGAAGGTAAAATTAGCAGGATCTGGTGGCTGTTTGGAAGTGAAGGTTAAGGAAGCGGGATGAGTCGCAGATGCCTCCCAGGTTTTAGTATGTGTGTGATAGTGGAACCCTGTGGTAACTACATCCTAGAATGAAATTTAAAGGGAGGATCTCAAATAATATTGGTACAAACAGTTAATGTGCTCAGCTGCTAACCAAATGGTTGGAGGTACAAGTCCACCCAGAGATACCTCAAAAGAGCTGCTTCTGAAAAATTAGCGGCTGAACACCCTATGTACGGAGCACAGTGCTACTCTGCACACATGGGGTTGCCGTAAGTTAAAATAGACTCAACGGCAATTAGTTTTGGTGATTAACCACAAAGCTGAGCACATCCTATAGTTCAGCCCCTCAGACCCACTCAGCTTCCACATCTATAACGGCCCAGCCCTGGGCTGACAGGGAAATGGGTGGACTTTCTTCGGCTCTTTCTCAGATCCACTCATTGCATGTTGAATTGAATTATCATGCTGTGAGAACCACAGAGCAGAGGCTAAGATGGGGCAGTCATTCTTGGCCCCAGGAGAAACAGAGAGGCCTTGAGGTCAGATTTCAGCATGTGGGAAGGTAACAGTCTCCAGGGGTAGGATTTAAAGTTAACAGGTCAATTGGGTAATATTGAATGTTCTAACCACATTGGTTTAGGGTGGAGACCACATTTTTCTTGGTGCAATATTAAACATATGGCTATGACTTTGTTATATCTCTACAGGAGGAAGAGTAGAAGAACAATCTAGAAAACCAAGAGTAGTAAGAAGCCAAGAACATACAACAGAAGCAATGGAGCACAAGGCAAAATCAAAGAACTTAAACACTCATCCAAGAAGCATCTCTTGTAATCACTTGGGTTTTAGAAAGCTCTGAAATTGTATCACAGAACCCCAGCAACTGCAACCTCATCTCTAAGCCAGCTCTATAGTGTCAATGAGTGAGATTTACCTGCTTCCAATGCCATAGCCATTGAAGGAAAAGAGAGGAACAAGCACAACTCTCTGTTTTACTTTCATGTATATGTGTTCATTAAAGCTTAAATGGCATGGAACTCTCTCCACACCATATAGAGAATTTAAAAAAGTAGCTTTATGTTAATTTCATCCCCACTTCCCAGTTTAGAATACCCCAAGTAAAACCCTAGCACTAATGTAAATAGATACTCACACTTCTTACCCTATGTAACTGGACCTTGTCCCTTAATCCATATGAATCCTTTCCCAGCCTCCCCTGGGCCAGCGCATTCTCCTGATCACATTCCTAATGAATGTCCTTTAAGAATGCTGAACTAGTAACTATGAATCTTTTTGTCCTTAGCTCAATCCTCTAAACTAGCCCCCTTCTATTGAACTTTTAATTTTGAATTTTTAAAGAACGGTAACCATGGCAAATGATCTCTACAGGACACAAGGCAGCCAAGTCCTTGCGACTGTAGAGCATCAACATTTGAAAGGGTTTTCCTAGAGTTAATGCTGGGAACAAAAGGATAAATCAAGTCCCAGGCAATGAATTATACATAAAATGTCTTTACCTGTACATTCCTAACACATTGAATTTGGGCTGCACTAATTTGAGACTTACAGATAGACATGCAATGTGCGCATGCATACATTTCCAGATAAGAGTCATAAAAACACTGAAAAGAAATCAATGCATTCATTGTTTGTGGAAGGAAAGAAAGAGGGAGGAAGTGACCTGGGGTGGAGGAGGAAGATCATTCTGACAGAATGTAACTATGGAAAAAGTCATAAAAATGGTCCTCAAACGTTACCAAAAAGGTTAGCAAATCAGAGCTACCTGGAGGGCTTGTTAAAACTCATTGCTGGGCCCACCCCCAGAGCATTTGAACCTGTAGGTCTGGTATGGAGCCTGAGAACTTGCATTTCTAATGGGTTCCCAGGTGATGCTGATGCTGTTGGTCTGGGACCACACTTTGAGAACCACTGGATTACACCTTCTCCATCCACACCCTCAACTTCTACTGAACAAATTCAGCTCCAGGTGTTTATTCAGTGTCTTGCATAAAAGATTTCTCTTCCCAAGTAAAGTTGACTCATATGTTCTACTTTAATAAAATCACATGATTAAGGGGATTAATACAGGGTCCAGATCCAGATTAAAGAACTATTTGCTATCTTTTCTGTGACCAACCAAGTACAATCTAGACTCTCTTGTCCATGCCCCTTCTACCCTTCCAGATATATGTTTTCTGGGTAAACTACAGTGGAGAGGAATCTCAGACCAGACAAAACTTTTAAAAATAAATCTCACTTGAACAAAATTGAATTGAATTACCATTACTATTATTACTATTTTTGGGGAAAGGGGACCTGCGAGATCAAAATTATTGTCATAATGATACTAAGATGTTATTTACCTTTTTCGCTTTCTCTGTGTACAGTGGAGTTTTCCAGAGGCTACATGATAAGTGATGATGTCATTGCTCTGATGTTAACATGTAGTGAGTTTGTTTACTGTTATTTTTTTAAAGAATTAATAAATAACATTTTTTAATTTCTTTGTTATAATTTCTAAATGTTGTAAGTATCATTACACTCACCTCATATAAGCAAAAGCCTCAACAATGGGTTCAAACATATCAAAGATCATGAAGATGACACAGGACCGGGTAACATTTCATTCTCTTATACATAAAGTCACCAGGAGTCGGAGCCTACTCCACAGCAACTAACAACAACCCCTTAGGCCACTATGATTTTTGCCCTTGTAAGAGCAGTTGAACCAATATGCTAACTACAGTGAAACTTGTGAGAGCCAGAACTTGACAAGACTGCCTTATTTTTCCAGATCTCGCAAAGTTACTGCCTTTGACAGGATGCAGTCTTACCACTTTTCTGGCGTTCATTATAGTGGAAAATATTTGCATTTTCCTTCTCTGACAGGTTTCCACCTTACACAGATTCTGGCTTTCACATGTTTTACTGTATAACACTCATCAACACCCCTTCTGATATCAGAGATATATATGTTGTTATTAGTTGCTGTTAATACCAACTCATGGCAATCCCATACATATACATCCCCAAATTTTGCTTATACAGTCATATTAGTATCAAAACCTTTTCCAGTGGAAAACAGGACCAAGAATAAGCATTCAACATTAAAACAGACTTTCAAGTAAATACATGTTTTACTGTCCTATAAACATTATCTTCAAAAAAAGTTCCCTCCAGGAGGTAGATAAGTATGTAAGATAAATGACTTTACTAACTTGACTACTCTCTTACTCATCCTCAAAGAATGATTGCGATCAATTTACAATGTTTCTGAAGGCTTTACAAAAATGTTGGCTCACATGGAGACGCTCTTATCAGATGGCATTTTCTGGCTAAGTCAGGAATGAGAAAGGGAGAGCTGCTGAGATTTTTCAAAGCCAATCCTTCTTATTTCCATTCCTCCTTTAAAGAAGTACAGTGCAAAACACATGTCCTCTTCGACTACAATATTGGGAAACATATTTTTTGAGCTATCCTACTGATATGAGGGTTGATATGAGAAGAAATCCCTGATCACAAGATATAGAGTTATTGAGCACCATATTAGCAAACGTATCAGTTAGCACTCTAAGTAGCAAATAAGAGAAAATCCAATCAAACTGTTTCATGTACCCAAGTAGCCTTCATTGGTGGTTTAATTCATGACTCACCAACCTTGCCAAGAATTTGGCTTTTGTTTTTTTCTCTTTCCTTTCTGTCTCCAGTGACATCAGGTTTAACCAAAGAAACTCAGGATGGCAAATAGGCTGTAAATACTCCAGAATTTTTATCAGATCACCACATCTAGAAAGAGAAAGAGCTCCTCCCCCAGGAGGTCCCTGCAAATGTCTTCCTAGTCTTATTGGCTCAAATTAAGTCTCATGTCTACTCCTGCACTGTGGACAGAGGATGAGATGATATTTATTTCCTTAGGCCTTAGTCACATACCCTACCCCTAAAACTAAGAGTGGAATCACCTCCCTCATTGGCTACTTGGAAGGAGAGAGGGGAGAGGTAAAACAAATGAAAATTAGATCATTACCAAGAAAAGGGAGAATGGATGTAGGGGGAAGCAACCATACTTTTCTTTACAGCCTATCACAAGCATTATTTTATGAGAAATATCCTAAATTTTCACATCAATAATACTATTATAAAGCTTAGAAAGTCAAATCTCATTCACATGAATAGTACACAAAATGTGGACAAAAGAATGGTTAGGACTGGCATATAGGAGTTTTTAAGGTTGTGGAAAGATTTCTTTGATGTTCTTCTGTTGACAATTTGAAGAAGCAAAATGGACCAGAAAATATAGATCTACACAAAGGAATGAAAAGCCCAAGAAATGGTAACTATGTGGGTAAAATTATAAATTTTTAAAATTATTATTTAAATATATTTAAAAGATAATTGACTATTTAAACAAACATAATAACATAAACAAGGGTATATAACATGTGTAGAAATAAAATGTATGACAACAATAAGACAAAGACTAGGAGGGAAGAACAGAAGTATACCAGTTAGGGTCCTTATACTATACATGCAGGAGACCCAGGTTGGATTCCCAGCCAATGCACATCATGTGCAGCCACCATCAGTCTATTAATGGTGGCTTGCATGCTGCTATGATGCTGAGCAGGTTTCAGTGGAGCTTCCAGACTAAGATGGACTAGGAAGAAAGGCCTGGTGATCTACTTCCAAAAATCAGCCAATGAAGACCCTATGGAAAAACATTATACGATTTACATCTGATCACGGGGATAGCACAGGACCAGTCAGCATTCAGTTCCATTGTGCATGGGTTCACCTTGAGTTGGGGCTGACTTGATGGCAGCTAACAACATACTATACATGAAGTGTTATAATATCACTTGAAGGTAGATTGTGAAAAGTTAAGGACGTATACTAAAAACCCTAAAGCAACCTAATAAAAGCAATACAACAAAGAGTTATAGCTAATAAACCAACAAAGGAATTATAAAAAATATTCAATCTGACAGAAAGTAGAAAAGAAGAGAAAAGGGAACAAAGAACAGATCAGACAAATTAAAAACAAACAGCAAGACAGTTTAAAACCCAGCCATATCAGTAATTACATTAAATATGAATTGTCTAAATATCCCAATTAACAGACAGAGATTGTCAGATTGGATTTAAAAAGCAACACTCAACTATATTCTCACTGCAAGAAACCCACTTTAAACATAAAGATATGATAAGGTTAAAAGTAAATGAATGGTGACAAAATCAAAACATTAGCTATACAACTGGAACAAATAGAAAGAGAACAGCAAAAGAAGCCCACATCCACCAGAAGAAAGGAAATATCAGAGCAGAAATAAATGAAATCGAGAATTAAAAAAACAACAGAAAGAATCAACAAAACCAAAGTTCGTTCTCTGAAAGGATCAACAAAATAGACAAACCATTGGCCAAACTGACAAAAGAAAAACAGGAAAGGATGCAAATAACTGAAATAAGAAATAAAATTGTGGACATTACAACAGACCCAAGTGAAAAAAAAGGATCATAGCAGAGTATTATGAAAAACTATACTCCAAACAAATTTGAAAACCTAGGGGAAATGGACAAATTTCTAGAAACATAATACCTACTCAAAGTAACACAAACAGGAGTTGAAAATCTGGACAGACCTATAACAAGAGAAGAAATTGAAAAAGTAACAAAAAAAACTCCCAGCAAAAAAAAACCCTGGCTCAGATAGCTTCACTGGAGAATTCAACCAAACATTCAGAGAACAGCTTACACCAGTACTACTCAAACTATTTCAGAACATAGAAATGGAAGGGATACTTCCAAATTCATCCTATGAAGCCAGCATAACCCTGATACCAAAACCAGGCAAAGACACCATGAAAAGAGAAAATTACAGACCAATATCTCTCATGAATACAGATGCAAAAATTATCAACAAAATTCTAGCAAATAGAATACAGCATCAGATAAAATTAATAATACACTACGATCAAGTGGGATTCATACCAGGTATGCAAGGATGGTTCAGCATTAGAAAATCAATCAATGTAATCCACCATATGAATAAAAGAAAAGAAAATAATCACACAATCATCTCAATCAATGCAGAAAAGGCATTCAATAAAGTCCA